AAAATTTAACTTTTATATGAGCTAGATGGGGATATGTCATCAGAGGAGAAGGAGGAACTTTTATATTCGTTGAATGCAGAAATGTTGGTATCGCTACAAGTTTTGAGGCGGAGCTTGCTGGAATTTACTACGGACTCAAAGCTTGTGAAGAAAAAGGACTACATCAAGTGATCATCCAAACAGATAACACCAGTATTGTTTCCTTATTACAAGGAGGAGAAGATCTTCCCTGGAAACAATACATGCCTCTAAAACGTGTCCAGGAAAAAATGCGCACTACAAACTCGAATATACTCCATATCTACAGAGAGGTAAATAGTGTTGCGGATGAGCTTGCAAGATATACCTCAATGGGAAACACATTGCAATTTCATTCCCACGAGACTCTTCCAGCATCATTGAGAGGTAAGTTTTATCTAAATAGTAATAAATTTCCATATGTAAGAATTAGATAGTCTTGTAGCATAGTAAAACACAAAGTTAGAGATATCATGGGATTTATGTGGTAAATCTTTGTAAGACATTCTCTTAGTTTTCAACTTTTAATTTTCTAATAGCATTGAACTGTCAGGGGATAGTTATAAAACTATCTTTGTAAGTCAGTTCATAGATCTACTTTGTTAGAGAACTGTCATGGGATTTTTAGAGAAACTTTCTGTAAGACGGTCTCTTTTGCTTTGGGTAAGTCTTAAGCACTGCCTTTTGTAATTTTTTTTTTCTTTATATCAATAAAATCAAGGAGATGCCCGCCAGGTACCATCCTAGTTCTCTTAAAAAAAAAATTTAACTTGTCATATGTCATTAAAAAGAAATTAAAGGGGGTGCAAAATTATTATTTTTTATTTCTTTTCCTATAGAAAACTATAATCCACTAAAAAAAATTTATAGACGGAGGGCGAAGCCGCACCGGCTGGCCACCCCCTCTCTCCAGCACTGCATAAGAAATCTGGAAAAAAAAATCAAAGGCAGAAAGGTTCGTGCACGTGAGGAAAGGTCTCATACCAACTTCCCTTTTGGCGCGTAAGTTGCACGCGCTAAAGATTTCTTCACCTCCATTGAAATTATAACCCTTTGTTTATAACCTGTTTTTGACCCGGTTTCGACCCGTGAATTTTTTTAACACCCCTGGAATTTGAATTGCTATATATTAGATCTCACAAAAGAATTGAAAACATAGAATTAAACTCTATAGAGTATTGTGATTCCAATTCTTGCACTTCTATTTTTACTAACCAAACAAAGGAATTGGAATAAAAAAAAGTTGAAGGGTTTTCCATTTGAAAAGCAAAAATCAAGAGGAAGTGGATGAAAGTAGGCCAAAGAGAACAAATGATTCAATCTGTAACTCTGCATCTTAATTGCTGTTAACGAATGACACCTGAAATTATCAAATGAATATACCAACAACAATTAAAAATAGTAGAGTTCAAGAAAAGACGCTACTGCAAGTTCGAAACTGATATCATTAGTTCATTGATGAGAATTTCTAGGAAGGATGAATATTCAAGAAAACTGCAGTTTTAGACAAAAACACATGGGTTTGGGGGGGGGGGACTCTTTATAGTTTATAATAACTTTTTGGTTGGTGTTTTTTGTTACTGTTCTGGGTACACGTGGAACACGAACCTATGGTAACCGATGAACCGATGTAATATTTGGGTTTTGATGTAATAATGAAGACAATAGCTCTTTAAGAGTACCACACTACCATGTCCACAAGTCCATTATTAAGAAATATTAATATGATACTTAATATTATACCTAAACACATAAATAAGTAACAAGTACAATGTCTTTGTATCTCTCCCTTATAGTACATTTTTAGAATTTTTACTTTTTAAGTTTTTTTGGAATTTTAACAACTGAGTAAACAATTAAGTTTTTCTTTTTTTGAGAAATCGGTAAATAATTCTTAATCCAATGATTTTTATAAAAAAAAAGGCTGTTTACTCATATCTCTTATTACATCCTTCGCTAAAATTCCGTCATTCACTTGGTATCGAGTTTCCCAGTTATAGAAGATAGGGAGAAACAATAGATTAGAAAAAATATCTACTAAAATAGAAAGCAAGAACAAAAAATGTGACTGCAAAAATGCAATTCAAGAAAATAGTAAGCAAAAATAATGGTCAGAGTTGATAGATTTTCGTGTTGTATTGGACGAGATTGAGAACATCTAGGGCAAAAATGGAATATGCTTAAGAGATTGAGCATTTAGTTGTAAAGGCTTCTAACAACAGGGGCTTGCTATGCAAACTTTTATCAAAAAGGCAAGAAAAAAAAAAGAAAAATGGCCAGCAAAATTTTACACGCGGGGTCATGTTATAACTCGTATTGACCTACTGTGTGACCCTCGTATACTATCATACACCGTGCAGTGTGTGGAATTTTTTTAAAGAATCAAAATGATGTCGTTTTTGTGAAAGTAGTTTGGAAAAAATAAAATTCTCACTTAATTAATTACAGATATGTAATAATTAAAAAATGCGATGTAAAACTAATGTAACAGGACAACCGTTCAGCCAATCATATTTTAGGAATTTTTTTGGTTAATCAAACTTTTATCTTTATGCTATAGATAAAGAAATTGGGCGGGGAGAGATTAAGAACTCCTCGCAGCAGAGTCGATCATCAGTAACAATCATAGAAATTTTGTATCAGATCGGAGTCAATTTTTTCTTTTTATTTCATGCAAACAATTTTGGGCATTAAGTTGAAAATTGGTCAGTGGGTGAAGAACTAATCATTGCAAATGGCAAAGAACCACCAACGGTGCATTCATACATCAATCTGAACGAGCCACCTCCTCTTGATGAAGATGAGACTGACAAAGGCGTAGCTACCGATGAAGATTCTTCTTCTTTTGTGGCGGTGGTGGTGGCGCTTGCGGTTGTCAACTCTATCCACGTCAGCATGGTTTGGAAAAATCCGCCATGGAAGAGGAGAACACTTCGAGAAGATGTTTCCCGGACTTCTGAGCCCAACCATGGTTGTGACAGCGGCGTCGAGGGAGGAGGAGCAGGAGCAAGAAGATAAGGAGCCCATAGCGGTAGGATGAACATATAAGCCAAAAAAATCTGGAAAAGAAAAAATCAAAAGCAAAAAGGGTCATGCGTGTGTGAAAATGTTTCAGACCAACTTCCGTTTTGGTGCGTGAAGATTTCTTCACCTCCCTTGAAATTTTATCCCTTTTTTTTATAACCCATTTTTTACCATGTTTCGACCTGTGAAGTTTTTTAACACCCCTGGAATATGAGTTGCAATTATTAAATCTCACAAAAGAATTGAAAACATAGAATGGAACTCTATAATTCTAATTCCTACACATCTATTTCTATTAACCATACAAAGGAATGGGAACCAGAAAAGCGTCTAAGGGTTTTCCATTTGAAAAGAAAACATCAAAAGAAAGTGGATAAAATTAAGCCAAAGAAAGCAAATGATTCTACCAGTAGAATTCAATAAAAAGACATTGTAAGTCCCAAACTGATATCATTAGTTAACTGATGGAATTTCTAGGAAGGGTGAAAATTCAAGAAAACTGCGGTTTAAGACCAAACACAGGGGTTGAGGGGAGGGGAAGGGTCTATATCTTATACTAACTTTTTGGTTGGTTTTTATTTTACACTTTTATGGGCACACGTGGAGCACGAACCTCTGGTAGCAGATGTAAATGATTGGTATTTGATGTAATAATGAAGAGAATAGCTCTTTAAGACTTTTCAAAAAAAAAAAATGCTGTTTAAGAGAACCGTACTACCATGTCCAACAGTCCATTATTAAGGAATATTAATATGATACTTCAAATTATATCTAAACACATCACCAAGTAACAAGTACAATGTCTTTGTATCTCCCCCTTATATTATTTTTTACAATCTTTAATTTTCAAGTTTTGTTAGAATTTTTAATAAGTTTCAACAAAAACAAAATTATATTTGATAGAAATTTTAGTTATGCATATTATTATTCATTTATATATAGAATTATAGTTTGACATTAATTTGTATATATGGTAATATTTTTTTTCTTTTTCCATATATAATACCAAATCTTTTGTTTGGATGTAGTAACTACAGTACATCTAGAATTAGTTTTTACTTGATAATTATTGATAGAATGGCAAAATAAAAATTATTTCAAACACAAATATCCAGTCACTATTTGTTATAGTTCTAATTTTGAGTTTTAAGATGAAATAGATACACGTACTACACTACCCATTCTGCAAACAAAAAAAAAAAAGAGAAAATATAAGCCAAAGAAATTTGGAAAAAAAAAAAATCAAACACAAAAAGAGTCGTGCGCTTGAGGAAATGTTTAAGACTAAATTCCCCTTTGGCATGTGAGTTGCACGCTCCAGAGATTTCTTTACCTCACTTGAAATTTCACCCGTTTTATTTACAACCCACTTTTGAATTGGTTTCAACCCGTGAATTTTTTTAAGATTCCTGGAATTTGAATTGCATTTATTTCCTCTCACAAAAGAATTGAAAACATGGAATTGGTAGAATATATGGTCAAAAAATAAATATTTCAAACACAAAAATCCAGATACTCTTTGTAATAATTATATTTTTATTTTTAAGATGAAATAGATATACGAACTATACTTCCCACTTTGGCCCAAAAAAAAAGCCAACAAAAAAGAGAGAAAATATAAGCTAAAGAAATCTAGAAAAAAAAAATTCAAATGCAATAAAAGTAGTGCGCATGAGGAAAGGTTTCAGACCAACTTTCCTTTTTAGCACGTGAAATGCACGTTCCAGAGATTTCTTCATCTCACTTGAAATTTTACCCTTTTTCTTTATAACTCGCTTTTGATTTGGTTTTGACCCGTGTATTTTTTTAAGATCCCTGAAATTTGAATTACAACTATTAGCTCCCACAAAAGAATTGAAAACATGAAATCGAACCCTATCTAGTATTGTAATTTTGATTCCTACATTTCTATTGGAATGGTTGGGTTTGAGATACTGAATGCAGTGGCTCTAGGAGAATTAGGAGAATTCTCCTCCGTACCGGTCGATTCCTTCCGATCCAGTGCAACCGAATGGGCCATTTTTCCACCTCCTCCCTCTGCGCAACTGTTGCTGCCACGGTTGGCCGTGGAAGATTCTGCGGCCCAAACGTCTTCTTTCGGGGTCCTTCATTTCCTCGGCGGATTTTTTCCAGACCAGGTCGTCGTGGCCTGAGTCCGGAACTGCGGGGGCGGCCACCGCCACCGCCGCTGCAGCAGCAGCAGAAGAACCCTCATCTTCATCATGGACTGGTGGCATGGGTGGTTGAGATCGATCTCCATTCTCGAGTTCTCTGCCATTTTGGAATGTGATTTTGTCTGGAAGACGACTCTGCTGGAGAAGGGGCACCAGATTTATTGTCTCAGTTGGTTTTTTGTTTTCAACTTTTCTTTCCCCAAACTCTGTCTCACATGTTTAAGTATTATTTTTGCTCCTCCCATTTATTGACGTCATTTCTGTTATTTATTATTGTATTGGGTAAAAATATTAGTAATATAATAATGTGTTTAGAGTTAGTGTAATACGCATTTGGTTTGTGTTGATAATATAGTCAAGTTGGGAGTCAAAATCCGACGTGCGGAAAAGGGTAAAAAACAAAACTGTATTTATTAAATATTGAATTGCACATAATCCACAAAATTAATGCCAACTCCTTTTCTCCCTCAAAGTATATACCCTCCATTTCGTGTGCAATTCTATGCATGGATTTTTTTCAATTGTAGCCTTTGGATGATGGATCATATAAAAAGTTGAAACAAAAAAGTTCATATAAAAAGCTGTTCAGTTAAAGGAATAAGTCTTGATGGCATGGTTTATAACATTACTATGAGATCTCATGTTCGATTCTCGCTGAGTCAATCTAACTATTTTCTCTCATGTCATGAGATCTCATGGGTTATATATATTTCAAAAGAGAAACAGAGATGAAACAATTAGGAATAATAATTAGTTGCGAATGGAGTATTTTATAACAATAATTTGTTGTTGTCCTGATAATGGCAAAATATCATTCATAATTTAGTACTTACAACTTATGATTAATGCTTTTGTTCCATTTTCTCCTTATTGTATCCAAATGAAAAAATAGCGTATTTATAAGCACTTGAATAATGAGATCCATACATCGTAGCTAACTTACTACTACAACATCCTATTGTTCCTGAAGATCGCATTCATTCAGAATATAAACTGGAGTGTTGAAAGAAGATTGTTTACGGCATAGGCAACTTTTATATATATAATAATTTCTCTTGTCATCAATTTTTTTGTCGGTTTTGCTATCACGACAAGAAAGTCCCCAAGTGTTCCAAAAATTTTCCCACAAATATCTTATTTGAAAACCGAAATACATGCATGTGTGAAAAAAAAAAATTGAACACTGGATATTTTTTACTATGTCTAATTTTTTAACGCGGACATTGAAAACTGATGTGTGTCTGTGAAAATGATAAAGAGATTTGATTAATTACGAAAACATAATACCATAAAAAATTGTGATAATAAGAAAAAACTATGTATTTTAATTTTTGTCGACTTCTTCTTATTAAGAAGATGTAAATTTTGATAATTTAAAATAGAAAATAACATTTGTGGCGTTAACATTGATACCAAAAAATTAATCAACCCGTGATTCAAAGAAACAATCTTTTCATATACATTAACACAATCAATATTTAAATTTTTGGATTGGTATTATTAGTCAAATTATAATCAAGTTAAGTAATTGAAGATATAGAGATCAAGTTCTATTGTGCTTGTTTTCATTTTCAAATTATTAGTCGAATTATTAATGCAATGATTTTTATTTAAAAAAATTGTTTAATCCTATCTCAGATTAAATCCTTCACTGAAATTCTTTCATTCACTTGGTCTTGAGGTTCCCAGATATTAGAAGATTGCAAGAAACAATAAAATGAAAAAAAAACTACTAAACATAAAAGGTAAGAACTAAAAATTTGATTGCAAAAGTGCAATTACAGGAAACTAGTAAACACAATTTAATGATAGAAATTGGTAGATTTTCAGGTTGTGTTACACGAAATTGAGAAGATCTAGGGAAAAAATGAAATACACTTAAGAGATTGAGCATTTAGTTGCAAAGGCCTCTAAAAAGGCAGGCTTGCTTTGCAAAATTTCATCAAAAAGGCAAAAAAAAAAAAAAAAGGAAAAGGAAAAATGGCAAGCAAAATTTACACGTGGGTCATGTTATTACCCTCATTGACCTCCTGTGTGACTTGCGTGAACTATCCTGCACTCACAGTGCACGGACAAATTTTTTTTTTGGAAACAATCAAAACGACATCGTTTTGTTGAAGGTGGTTTTATATTAACTTTTGGTGGGTGTTATCTTGATATTCTAGGCCCACGTGGAGGACGAAGCTCCGGTAAATATCAGAATGCTTGGGATTGAGATACTGAAGGCAGTGGCTCTAGGAGTACCAAGTCCACAAATCTAACTAGCAACCACGTCAGCCTCACGCTTCTCCTAAGCTCAACACCTGGCAGCGCCGATCCCCCTGCCGCCACCACGGCTGATTCATCCGCCGCCACCAACACCTCTACTGGTGGTGCGGCCATTTCTGAGCCTTTCACCTTACCCGGTGCATTTCCAATTCCAGCTCTGGTGATTTAATCCACAATAGCCAGCGGCGGCGGCCCATTTCCAACGGCAGGCCTTGCTTCCTTGTCAGGATTTTCCTCCCCATAAGTTGATTCCTTCTGGTCTTCTTTTCCCCATTCAACCCTCTTATTAATCCTACCGCCATGGGGTCCTCATGATCCTCCTCATCCTCCTCCCTCGGTGCCGCCGTCACCACCGTGGTTGGGTTTGGAACATTCATCGGCCCGAACATCTTTTCGGGGTGTCCTCCTCATCCTTGGAGGATTTTCCGAAATCCCACCATGATGTTGATGATTGGAATGGATTTCATCTCTAACCATGCTGACTTGGCCGGAGTTGACAACCGAAGCCACCACCTCCGCCGCCGCTATGTTTATGCCGGCGTTCTCCTCTTCATCAAAGGCCGCTGGCTGGTTTAGATCAATCTCCAAGATGCAAGAACGGTGGTTCTTTGCCATTGATTTGGATTTCTTCACTGACTCATTTTTTTCAACTTTTTTCTGAAACAGAGAGATTGTTTTTGCATGAATGGAGTCTCTAACTATGCATGAACGAAACTAAAGAAAGCTCTTATTTTCAGACAATTACATACGAAAATCTTCCGGAGTATTGTGTAGAATGCAGGAATTGGTCACTCGGCAAAGTCTTTCGCCACATCAAGGAGTTCATTCAAACAGAAGCTACGTCAAAATCTAAATCACACCTAAAAATTCTCAAATGGATACCAACAAAAAAAAAAGACAGTATAATATAAGAAAAAGACATCACTACAACTCCCATACTGATATCATTAGTTCACTGATGGAATTTCTGGGAAGAATGAAAATTCAAGAAAACTGCAGTTTATTACCAAAACACAGGAGTTGGGGGGGGGGAGGGGAAGGGTTTATATCTTATACTAACTTTTTGGCAGGTTTTTATATTTGACTTTTATGGGCACACGTGGAGCACGAACTTCTGGTAGCAGATGTAAATGGTTGGGATTTGATGTAATAATGAAGAGAATAGCTCTTTTAGAGAACCATATTACCATGTACAAAAGTCTATTATTAAGGATTATTAATATGATACTTAAAATTACATCTAAACACATAAATAAATAACAAGTACAATGTCTTTGCATCTCTCCCTTATATTATTTTTTACAATTTTTGATTTTCAAGTTTTTTCTTTGAATTTTTAACAAGTTTTAACAAAAAAAAAGATTATATTTGATAGAAATTTTAGTTTGTGCATATTATTATTCATTTATACATAAAATTATAGTTTGACATTAATTTGTATATATGGTAATAATTATATATTTTTTTTCTTTTTCCGTATGTAATACCAAATCTTTTGTTTGGATGTATAGTAACTACAGTAAATCTGGAATTAGTTTTTACTTGATTATTATTCTTAAATATTAATAGAATATATGGCAAAATAATAAATATTTGAAACACAAAAATCCCGTCTCTATTTGTGATAATTCTAATTTTGAGTTTTACGATGAAATAGATATATGTACTATACTTCCCATTCTGCAAAATGATAAAAGAAAAAAGGAGAGAATATAAGCCAAAGAAATTTGAGAAAAAATCAAACGCAAAAAGGATCGTGCGCCTGAGGAAAGGTTTCAAACTAAATTCCCTTTTGGCGCTTGAGTTGCAGCTCCAGAGATTTTTTCACCTCACTTGAAATTTCACCCATTTTCTTTATAACCCGCTTTTTATTTGGTTTTGACCCGTGAATTATTTTAAGATCCCTGGAATTTAAATTGCAATTATTACCTCTCACAAAAGAATTAAAAACATGGAATTGATAGAATATATAGTCAAAAAAATAGATATTTCAAACAAAAAAATCCAATTACTATTTGTACTAATTCTATTTTAATTTTTAAGATGAAATAGATATACGTACTATACTTTCCATTCTGGCCCACGAAAAAAAAGAGAGAGAGAAAATATAAGCTAAAGAAATCTGGAAAAAAAATTCCTTTGCAAAAAAAGTTGTGTATGTGAGTAAAGATTTCAGACCAACTTCCATTTTTAGCACGTGAGTTGCACGCTCCAGAGATTTCTTCACCTCACTTGAAATTTTACCCGTTTTCTTTATAACCCACTTTTGATTCCCGGAAATTTCTTAAAGATCCCTGAAATTTGAATTGCAATTATTAGCTCCCACAAAAGAATTAAAAACATGGAATTGAACCCTATCTAGTATTGTAATTTTAAATCCTACACTTCCATTTTTACCAACTTAACAAAGGAATTGGAATTGGAGGGCTCCAATTCTTGGCAACTAAATAGAGGGTTAGTGCATGTTTGGCCATCTTAAACCAAAAAAAATAATAATTTACCTCTTAAACACAAAATGCAATTCAAAATAAACAACTATCCGTATAATTTTTTAATTTATATTTAATCTTTTAATTTATATTATTTTTACAGGTTTCAGACCAACAGGGGCTTGCTTTGCAAACTTTTATGAAAAAGGCAAGAAAAAAAAAAGAAAAATGGCCAGCAAAATTTTACACGCGGGTCAAGTTATAACCCGTATTGACCTACTGTGTGACCCTCGTGTACTATCATACACCGTGCAGTGTCTGGACTTTTTGTAAAGAATCAAAATGATGTCGTTTTTGTGAAAGTACTTTGGAGAAAATAAAAGTCTCACTTAATTAATTATAGATATGTCAATAATTAAAAAATGCAATGTAAAACTAATGTAACAGGACAACCGTTCAGCCAATCATATTTTAGGAATTTTTTTGGTTAACCAAACTTTTATCTTTATGCTATAGATAAAGAAATCGTGTGGGGAGAGATTAAGAACTCCTCGCAGCAGAGTCGATCATCAGTAACCATCATAGAAATTTTGTATTAGAGCGGAGTCAAGTTTTTCTTTTTATTTCATGCAAACAATTTTGGGCATTAAGTTGAAAATTGGTCAGTGGGTGAAGAACTAATCATTGCAAATGGCAAAGAACCACCAACGGTGCATTCAGACATCAATCTGAATGAGCCACCTCCTTTTGATGAAGATGAGACTGACAACGGCGTAGCTACCGGTCAAGATTCTTCTTCTTTTGTGGCGGTGGTGGTGGCGCTTGCAGTTGTCAACTCTAGCTACATTAGCATGGTTTGAAAAAATCCGCCATGGAAGAGGAGAACACCTCGAGAAGATGTTTCCCGGACTTCTGAGCCCAACCATGGTTGTGACAGCGGCGTCGAGGGAGGAGGAGCAGGAGCAAGAGCAAGAAGATAAGGAGCTCATAGCGGTAGGATGAACATATAAGCCAAAAAAATCTGGAAAAGAAAAAATCAAAAGCAAAAAGGGTCATGCGTGTGTGAAAATGTTTCAGACCAACTTCCGTTTTTGTGTGTGAAGATTTCTTCACCTCCCTTGAAATTTTATCCCTTTTTTTTATAACCCATTTTTTACCATGTTTCAACCTGTGAAGTTTTTTAACACCCCTGGAATATGAATTGCAATTATTAAATCTCACAAAAGAATTGAAAACATAGAATGGAACTCTATATAATATTGTAATTCTAATTCCTACACATCTATTTCTATTAACCATACAACGGAATTGGAACCAAAAAAGAGTCTAAGGGTTTACCATTTGCGAAGCAAAAATCAAAAGAAAGTGGATAAAATTAAGCCAGAGAGAGCAAATGATTCTACCAGTAGAATTCAATAAAAAGACGTTGTAAGTCCCAAACTGATATCATTAGTTAACTGATGGAATTTCTAGGAAGGGTGAAAATTCAAGAAAACTGCGGTTTAAGACCAAACACAGGGGTTGGGGGGAGGGGAAGGGTCTATATCTTATACTAACTTTTTGGTTGGTATTTATTTTTGACTTTTATGGGCACACATGGAGCACGAACCTCTGGTAGCAGATGTAAATGGTTGGTATTTGGTGTAATAATGAAGAAAATAGCTCTTTAAGACTTTTCAAAAAAAAAAAAAATGCTTTTTAAGAGAACCATACTACCATGTCCAAAAGTCCATTATTAAGGAATATTAATATGATACCTTAAATTATATCTAAACACATCACCAAGTAACAAGTACAATGTCTTTGTATCTCCCCCTTATATTATTTTTTACGATTTTTAATTTTCAAGTTTTGTTAGAATTTTTAATAAGTTTCCACAAGAACAAAATTATATTTGATAGAAATTTTAGTTATGCATATTATTATACATTTATATATAGAATTATAGTTTGACATTAATTTGTATATATGGTAATATTTTTTTTCTTTTTCCATACATAATACCAAATCTTTTGTTTGGATGTATAGTAACTACAGTACATCTAGAATTAGTTTTTACTTGATCATTATTGATAGAATGGCAAAATAAAAATTATTTCAAACACAAATATCCAGTCACTATTTGTTATAGTTCTAATTTTGAATTTTAAGATGAAATAGATACACGTACTATACTACCCATTCTGCAAACAAAAAAACAAAGAGAAAATATAAGCCAAAGAAATTTGGAAAAAAAAAATCAAACGCAAAAATAGTCGTCGCGTGAGGAAATGTTTCAGACTAAATTCCCCTTTGGCATGTGAGGTGCACGCTCCAGAGATTTCTTTACCTTACTTGAAATTTCACCCGTTTTCTTTACAACCCACTTTTGAATTGGTTTCAATCCGTGAATTTTTTTAAGATCCCTGGAATTTGAATTGCAATTATTTTCTCTCACAAAAGAATTGAAAACATGGAATTTGTAGAATATATGGTCAAAAAAATAAATATTTCAAACACAAAAATCCAGATACTCTTTGTAATAATTATATTTTTATTTTTAAGATGAAATAGATATACGAACTATACTTCCCATTCTGGCCCAAAAAAAAAGGAGAACAAAAAAGAGAGAAAATATAAGCTAAAGAAATCTAGAAAAAAAAATTCAAATGCAATAAAAGTAGTGCGCATGAGGAAAGGTTTCAGACCAACTTCCCTTTTTAGCACGTGAAATGCACGCTCCAGAGATTTCTTCATCTCACTTGAAATTTTACCCTTTTTCTTTATAACTCGCTTTTGATTTGGTTTTGACCCGTGTATTTTTTAAGATCCCTGAAATTTGAATTATAACTATTAGCTCCCACAAAACAATTGAAAACATGAAATCGAACCCTATCTAGTATTGTAATTTTGATTCCTAGACTTCTATTTTCACCAACCTAACAAAGGAATTGGAATTGGAGGTTCGTGGGCTCCAATTCTAATTCGTGGCTCCAATCTAGGCAACGAGACAGAGCCTTAGTGCATGTTTGGCCATCATCTTATACAAAAAAAAAAGATTTATCTCTTAAATACAAAACCCAATTCAAAATAAACAACTATGGATTTAATTTTTCAATTTATATTTAAAATTTTAACTCAAATATTATTTTTACACAATTTTCATCCACCACCACCGGACCTCCTCAACCATCGCCGGCAGCCACCGGTTAGTCCGGCGGGGATGGGAGGGGAGGAGAGTCCGGCGGTGGTGGAAGCGATCTTGTGGTTACAAAAAAAAATTATTTTATTTAAAATATTTGCCAAACAACTTTATTCATTTCAATATTCAATAAATAATCAATTTTGGGTTTCCCTTCATTGGGCTACGCCTTTGACTCCCAAACTTGACTTAACTCGAAACACAATAATAATATTAATATTTTACTTAAATATAATAATAACATTAATGACGAAGAAAATGGGGAGAAAGAAAATAGAAAAATAAACAATTATTACTATGTACTTAAAACTATATATGACATAGAGGTTGGAAAATTAAAATAGAAAAAACAACTCGGCCGAGTCCATTTGATTTCTTCGAGGCACCTTTTTATGTAACAATTAGTACTTACAATCCGTCACGCGACGCATTCTATAAAGTGAATCCTAAAACATATTCTATGAAAATTGATAAATAGTGAATCCCAACAATTATAATTATGGAATAAAATGAATAATATGAAAACAATGTTTTATAAATGAATTTTGTCTATAGCGCATCAATTTACGAGGTTGAATATTTCTTCAAAAACCAAATTTTGAGTTTTTGTAACCACAACCACGTTGTCTAAAGTCGGCAGTATTAGGAAAATTTCAACAATTTGGACGTTTTGGCATAGAAATTCTTAAATGATTTGGCACAAATGTCATATCATAAAAACATAGAACAAAGTTGTATATTATAAAAATTTAAAGCAAAATTGCTATTGAGATGCACATGATTGAGAAAATAATTAAGGTTTTTTTTTTTTGAGAAATGGATAAATAATTCTTAATCCAATGATTTTTATAGATAAAAAAAAGTTGTTTAACCCTATTTCCTATTACATCCTTCACCGAAATTTCATCATTTACTTGGTATTGAGGTCCCAGATATTAGAAGACAGGGAGAAACAATAAAATGGAAAAATATTTACTAAAATAGAAGGAAAGAACTAAAACTTTAATTGCAAAAGTGTAATTACAGGAAACTAGTAAGCACAATTGAACGGTCAGAATTGATAGATTTTCGGGTTGTCTTACATAAGATTGAGAACATCTAGGGCAAAAATGAAATACACTTGAGAGATTGCGCATCTACTTGCAAAGGCTTCTAAGAAAGGCCAGCTTGCTTTGCAAAATTTTATCAAAAGGCGTAAAAAAAAATGAAAAATGGCCAGCAAAATTTTACGCGCGGGTCATATTATTACCCGCATTAACCTACCGTGTGGCTCGCGTGCACTATCACACACTGTACAGTGCGCACAATTATTTTTTAAAAAAACAATCAAAATGACATCGTTTTGTTGAAGGTGGTTTTATACTAATTTTTGGTGGGTGTTTTTTGACTTTCTAGGCCCACGTGGTGGACGAAGCTCCGGTAAATATTGGAATGGTTGGGTTTGAGATACTGAACACAGTGGCTCTAGGAGAATTAGGAGAATTCTCCTCCGTACCAGTCGATTCCTTCCGATCCAGCGCAACTGAATGGGCCATTTTTCCTCCTCCTCCCTCTGCGCCGCTGTTGCTGCCATGATTGGCCTTGGAAGATTCTACGGCCCAAACGTCTTCTCTCGGGGTCCTTCGTTTCCTCGGTGGATTTTCCCAGACCAGGTCGATGTGGCCTGAGACTAGAACTGCGGGGGTGGCCACCGCCCCCGCCGCCGCAGCAGCAGGAGAAGAACCCTCATCTTCATCATCGACTGGTGGCATGGGTGGTTGAGATCGATCTCCATTCTCTAGTTCTCTGCCATTTTGAAATGTTATTTAGTCTGGAAGATGACTCTGCTGGAGAAGGGGCACCAGATTTATTGTCTCAGTTGTTTTTTTTTTCAACTTTTCTTTCCCCAAACTCTATCTCACATGTTTAAGTATTTTTTTTGCTCCTCCCCATTTATTGATGTCATTTCTGTTATTTATTATTGTATTGGGTAAAAATATTAGTAATATAATAATGTGTTTAGAGTTAGTGTAATACGCATTTGGTTTGTGTTGATAATATAGTCAAGTTGGGAGTCAAAATCAGACGTGCAAAAAGGGTAAAAAACAAAACTGTATTTATTAAATATTGAATCGCACATAATCCACAAAATTAATGCCAACTTCTTTTCTCCCTCAAAGTATATAGCCTCCATTTCGTGTGCAATTCTATGCATGGATTTTTTTTCAATTGTAGCCTTTGGATGATGGATCATATAAAAAGTTGAAACAAAAAAGTTCATATAAAAAGCTGTTCAGTTAAAGGAATAAGTCTTGATGGCATGGTGTATAACATTACTATGAGATCTCATGTTCGATTCTCACTGAGTCAATCTAACTATTTTCTCTCATGTCATGATATCTCATGGGTTATATATATTTCAAAAGTGAAATAGAGATGAAACAATTAGGAATAATAATTAGTTGCGAATGGAGTATTTTATAACAATAATTTGTTGTTGTCCTGATAATGGCAAAATATCATTCATAATTTAGTACTTAAACCTTATGATTAATGCTTTTGTTCCATTTGCTCCTTATTGTATCCAAATGAAAGAATAGCATATTTATAAGCACTTGAATAATGAGATCCATACATTGTAGCTAACTTACTAGCTACTACAACTTCCTATCGTTCCTGAAGATCGCATTCATTCAGAATATAAACTGGAGTGTTGAAAGAAGATTGTTTACGGCATAGGCAACTTTTATATATATAATAATTTCTCTTGTCATCGACTTTTTTGTCGGTTTTGCTATCACGACAAGAAAGTCCCCAAGTGTTCAAAAAATTTTCCCACAAATATCTTATTTGAAAACCGAAATACATGCATGTGTGAAAAAAAAAGAAGTTAACACTGGATATTTTTTACTATGTCTAATTTTTTAACGCGGATAGTGAAAACTGATGTGTGTATGTGAAAATGAAAAAGAGATTTGATTAATTATGAAAACATAATACCATAAAAATTGTGATAATAAGAAAAAACTATGTATTCTAATTTTTGTCGACTTCTTCTTATTAAGAAGATGTAAATGTCGATAATTTAAAATAGAAAAAACATTTGTGGCATTAACATTGATACCGAAAAATTAATCAACCAGTGATTCAAAGAAACAATCTTTTCATATACATTAACACAATCAATATTTAAATTTTTGGATTGGTATTTTTAGTCAAATTATAATCAAGTTAAGTAATTGAAAATATAGAGATCAAGTTCTATTGTGCTTGTTTTCATTTTCGAATTATTAGTCGAATTATTAATGCAATAATTTTTATTTAAAAAAATTGTATAATCCTATCTCAGATTAAATCCTTCACTGAAATTCTTTCATTCACTTAGTATTGAGGTTCCCAGATATTAGAAGATTGCAAGAAACAATAAAATGAAAAAAAAAAAACCTACTAAACATAAAAGGTAAGAACTAAAAATTTGATTGCAAAAATGCAATTACAGGAAACTAGTAAGCACAATTTAATTGTCAGAATTGGTAGATTTTCAGGTTGTGTTACACGAAATCGAGAAGATCTAGGGAAAAAATGAAATACACTTAAGAGATTGAGCATTTAGTTGCAAAGGCTTCTAAAAAGGCGGGCTTTCTTTGCAAAATTTCATCAAAAAGGCAAAAAAAAAAAAAGGAAAAATGGCAAGCAAAATTTACACGTGGGTCATGTTATTACCCGCATTGACCTCCTGGGTGACTTGCGTGCACACTGCACAGTGCACGGACAATTTTTTGTTTTTTTTGAAACAATCAAAACGACATCGTTTTGTTGAAGGTGGTTTTATATTAACTTTTGGTGGGTGTTATCTTTACTTTCTAGGCCCACGTGGCACGTGGAGGACGAAGCTCCGGTAAATATCAGAATGGTTGGGATTGAGATACTGAATGCAGTGGCTCTAGGAGTACCAAGTCCACAAATCTAACCAGCAACCACGTCAGCCTCACGCTTCTCGTAAGCTCAACACCTGGCAGCGCCGATCCCCCTGCCGCCACCACGGCTGATTCATCCGCCGCCGCCAACACCTCTACTGGTGGTGCGGCCATTTCTGAGCCTTTCACCTTACCTGGTGCATTTCCAATTCCTGCTCTGGTGATTTCATCCACAATAGCCAGCGGCGGCAGCCCATTTCCTACGGAGGGCCTAGCTTCCTTGTCAGGATTTTCCTCCCCATAAGTTGATTCCTTCTGGTCTTCTTTTCCCCATTCAACCCTCTTATTAATCCTACTGCCATGGGCTCCTGATGATCCTCCTCATCCTCCTCCCTCGGTGCCGCCGTCACCACCGTGGTTGGGTTTGGAACATTCATCGGCCCGAACATCTTTTCGGGGTGTCCTCCTCATCCTTGGAGGATTTTCTGAAATCCCACCATGATGTTGATGATTGGAATGGATTTCATCTCTAACCATGCTGACTTGGCCGGAGTTGACAACCGAAGCCACCACCTCCGTCGCCGCTATGTTTATGCCGGCGTTCTCCTCTTCATCAAAGGCCGCTGGCTGGTTTAGATCAATCTCCAAGATTTAAGAACGGTGGTTCTTTGCCATTGATTTGGATTTCTTCACTGACTCATTTTTTCAACTTTTTTCTGAAACAGAGAGATTGTTTTTGCATGAATGGAGTCTCTAACTATGCATGAACGGAACTAAAGAAAGCTCTTATTTTCAGACAATTACATACGAAAATTTTCCGGAAGTATTGTGTAGAATGCAGAAATTGGTCACTCGGCAAAGTCTTTCGCCACATCAAGGAGTTCATTCAAACAGAAGCTACGTCAAAATCTAAATCACACCTAAAAATTCTCAAATGGATACCGACAAAAAAAAAGACAGTATAATATAAGAAAAAGACATCACTACAACTCCCATACTGATATCATTAGTTCACTGATGGGAAGGGTTTATATCTTATACTAACTTTTTGGTAGGTTTTTATATTTGACTTTTATGGGCACACGTGGAGCACGAACTTCTGGTAGCAGATGTAAATGGTTGGGATTTAATGTAATAATGAAGAGAATAGCTCTTTTAGAGAACCATATTACCATGTACAAAAGTCTATTTTTAAGGATTATTAATATGATACTTAAAATTACATCTAAACACATAAATAAATAACAAGTACAATGTCTTTGCATCTCTCCCTTATATTATTTTTTACAATTTTTGATTTTCAAGTTTTTTCTTTGAATTTTTAACAAGTTTTAACCAAAAAAAAAGATTATATTTGATAGAAATTTTAGTTTGTGCATATTATTATTCATTTATACATAAAATTATAGTTTGACATTAATTTGTATATATGGTAATAATTATTTTTTTTTCTTTTTCCGTATGTAATAGCAAATCTTTTGTTTGGATGTATAGTAACTAGAGTAAATCTGGAATTAGTTTTTACTTGATTATTATTCTTAAATATTAATAGAATATAAGGCAAAATAATAAATATTTGAAACACAAAAATCCCGTCTCTTTTTGTGATAATTCTAATTTTGAGTTTTACGATGAAATAGATATATGTACTATACTTCCCATTCTGCAAAATGATAAAAGAAAAAAGGAGAGAATATAAGCCAAAGAAATTTGAGAAAAAATCAAACACAAAAAGGGTCGTGCGCCTGAGGAAAGGTTTCAAACTAAATTTCCTTTTGGCGCTTGAGTTGCACGCTCCAGAGATTTTTTTACCTCTCTTGAAATTTCACCCGTTTTCTTTATAACCCGCTTTTTATTTGGTTTTGACCCGTGAATTATTTTAAGATCCCTGGAATTTAAATTGCAATTATTACCTCTCACAAAAGAATTAAAAACATGGACTTGATAGAATATATAGTCAAAAAAATAGATATTTCAAACAAAAAATCCAATTACTATTTGTAATAATTCTATTTTAATTTTTAAGATGAAATAGATATACGTACTATACTTTCCATTCTGGCCCACGAAAAAAAAAAGAGAGAGAGAAAATATAAGCTAAAGAAATCTGGAAAAAAAATTCCTTTGCAAAAAAAGTTGTGTACGTGAGTAAAGATTTCAGACCAACTTCCATTTTTAGCACGTGAGTTGCACGCTCTAGAGATTTCTTCACCTCACTTGAAATTTTACCCGTTTTCTTCATAACCCACTTTTGATTCCCGGAAATTTCTTAAAGATCCCTGAAATTTGAATTGCAATTATTAGCTCCCACAAAAGAATTGAAAACATGGAATTGAACCCTATCTAGTATTGTAATTTTAAATCCTACACTTCCATTTTTATCAACCTAACAAAGGAATTGGAATTGGAGGGCTCCAATTCTTGGCAACTAAATAGAGGGTTAGTGCATGTTTGGCCATCTTAAACCAAAAAAAAAATTAATTTATCTCTTAAACACAAAATGCAATTCAAAATAAACAACTATCCGTATAATTTTTTAATTTATATTTAAACTTTTAATTTATATATTTTTACAGGTTTCAGACAAACAGAGGCTTGCTTTGCAAACTTTTATCAAAAAGGCAAGAAAAAAAAAAGAAAAATGGCCAGCAAAAAGAAAAATCCCTGATTGGAATGGATTTCATCTCTAACCATGCTGACTTGGCTAGAGTTGACAACCGAAGCCACCACTTCCGCCACCGCTATGTTTACGCCGGCATTCTCCTCTTCATCAAAGGCCGCTGGCTGGTTTAGATCAATCTCCAAGATGCGAGAACGGTGGTTCTTTGCCATTGATTTAGATTTCTTCACTGACTCATTTTTTCAACTTTTTTCTGAAACAGAGAGATTGTTTTTGCATGAATGGAGTCTCTAATTATGCATGAACGGAACTAAAGAAAGCTCTTATTTTCAGACAATTACATACAAAAATTTTCCGGAGTATTGCGTAGAATGGATGATTTGGTCACTCGGCAAAGTCTTTCGCCACAGCAAGGAGTTCATTCAAACAGAAGCTACGTCAAAATCTAAATCACACGTAAAAATTCTCAAATGGATACCAACAAAAAAAAGACAGTATAATATAAGAAAAAGACATCACTACAACTCCCATACTGATATCATTAGTTCACTGATGGAATTTCTGGGAAGAATGAAAATTCAAGAAAACTGCAGTTTATGACCAAAACACAGGAGTTGGGGGGGAGGGGAAGGGTTTATATCTTATACTAACTTTTTGGTAGGTTTTTATATTTGACTTTTATGGGCACACGTGGAGCACGAACTTCTGGTAGCAGATGTAAATGGTTGGGATTTGATGTAATAATGAAGAGAATAGCTCTTTTAGATGACCATATTACCATGTACAAAAGTCTATTATAAAGGATTATTAATATGATACTTAAAATTATATCTAAACACATAAATAAGTAACAAGTACAATGTCTTTGTATCTCTCCCTTATATTATTTTTTACAATTTTTGATTTTCAAGTTTTTTCTTTGAGTTTTTAACAAGTTTTAACCAAAAAAAGATTATATGTGATAGAAATTTTAGTTTGTGCATATTATTATTCATTTATATATAAATTATAGTTTGACATTAATTTGTATATATGGTAATAATTATATTTTTTTCTTTTTCCGTATGTAATACCAAATCTTTTGTTTGGATGTATAGTAACTACAATAAATCTAGAATTAGTTTTTGCTTGATTATTATTCTTAAATATTAATAGAATATATGGCAAAATAATAAATATTTGAAACACAAAAATCCCGTCTCCATTTGTGATAATTCTAATTTTGAGTTTTACGATGAAATAGATATACGTACTGTACTTCCCATTCTGAAAAATGATAAAAGAAAAAAGGAGAAAATATAAGCCAAAGAAATTTGGGAAAAAATCAAACGCAAAAAGGGTCGTGCGCCTGAGGAAAGGTTTCAAACTAAATTCCCTTTTGGCGCTTGAGTTGCACGCTCCAGAGATTTTTTCACCTCACTTGAAATTTCACCCGTTTTCTTTATAACCTGCTTTTTATTTGGTTTTGACCCATGAATTTTTTTAAGATCCCTGGAATTTAAATTGCAATTATTACCTCTCATAAAAGAATTAAAAACATGGAATTGGTAGAATATATAATCGAAAAAATATATATTTTAAACACAAAAATCCAGTTACTATTTGTAATAATTCTATTTTAATTTTTAAAATGAAATAGATATACGTACTATACTTTCCATTCTGGCCCACAAAAAAAAAAGAGAGAGAGAGAGAAAATATAAGCTAAAGAAATCTGGAAAAAAAAAATTCCTTTGCAAAAAAAGTTGTGTACGTGAGGAAAGATTTCAGACCAACTTCCATTTTTAGCACGTGAGTTGCACACTCTAGAGATTTTTTCACCTCACTTGAAATTTTACCCGTTTTCTTTATAACCCGCTTTTGATTCCCGAGAATTTTTTAAAGATCCCTGAAATTAGAATTGTAATTATTAGCTCCCACAAAAGAATTGAAAATATGGAATTGAACCCTATCTAGTATTGTAATTTTAATTCCTACACTTCCATTTTTATCAACCTAACAAAGGAATTGGAATTGGAGGGCTGCAATTCTTGGCAACTAAATAGAGGGTTAGTGCATGTTTGGCCATCTTAAACCAAAAAAAAAATTAATTTATCTCTTAAACACAAAATGCAATTCAAAATAAACAACTATCCATATAATTTTTTAATTTATATTTAAAATTTTAATTTAAATATTATTTTTACATAATTTTCATCCACCACTACCGGATCTCCTCAACCACCGCTAGAAGTCGCCAATCAGTCCGGCGGGGATGGGAAGTGAGAGAGACCGGCGGTGGTAGAAGTGGTCATATAGTTACAATATATATATATATATTATTTAAAATACTTCTCAAACAACTTTGTTCATTTCAATATTGAATAAATAATGCAGTTTTAGGTTTCCCTTTTGTTGTGCTACACCTTTGACTCCCAAACTTAACTTTTGTCAGGACATACCAAACAATAATAATACTAATTTTACCAAAATAATAATAAATTAGATTAATGACAATGAAAATGGGGAGAAAGAAAATAAAAAATTAAACAATTATTACTGTGTACTTAATGCTATAAATGAGACAAAGTTTGGAAAATAAAAGTAGAAAAAACAAGTAGTACTTACAATCCGTCGTGTGTTGCGCAACGTATTCTACAAAGAACTTGGTGTAATAATTTTGATTTTCGAAGAAGTTTGATAATGTTAAATTTGATGATTTGTAATATATTGTCAAGCGACAAATAATGAAAATTGTTAAACGACTATGCAACTAAGTTTATATTATGATAGTGAATCCTAACAATTATAATTATGGAATAAAATGAATAATATGAAAACAATGTTTTATAACTGAATTTTTGTCTGTAGTGCATCGATTTGCAAGGTTGAATATTTCTTCAAAAATTAAATTTTGAGTTTTTGTAACCTCAACCACATTATCTAAAGTCAACAGTATTAGGAGAATTTCAACGATTTGGATGTTTTGGCATAGAAATCTTAAATGACCTGGCACAAATGTCATGTCTTAAAAACATAGAACAAAGTTGCATATTATAAAAATGTAAAGAAAAATTGCTATTGAGATGAACATGATTGACTAAATGATTATTTTTTTTTTCTTTTTTTCTCTGAGAAATGGGTAAATAATTCTTAATCCAATGACTTTTATAAAAAAAAAAAAAAAAGTAGTTTAATCCTATCTCCTATTACATCCTTCACTGAGATTCCTTCATTCACTTGGTATTGAGGTTCCAGATATTAGTAGATAGGGAGAAACAATAGAATGGAAAAAATATCTACTAAAATAGAAGGAAAGAACTAACTTTGATTGCAAAAGTGCAATTACAGGAAATTAGTAAGCACAATTTAATCGTCAAAATTGATAGATTTTCAGGTTGTATTACACGATATTCAGAACATCTAGCGCAAAAAAGAAATACGCTTAAGAGATTGAGCATTTAGTTGCAAAGGCTTCTAAGAAGGCGGGCTTGCTTTGCAAAATGTTATCAAAAAGGCAAAAAAAAGAAAAAGAAAAATGGCCAGCAAAATTTTACGTGCTGGTCATGTTATAACCCGCATTGACTTGTTGTATGGCTCGCGTGCACTATCATACACTGCACAATGCGTGCACTATCAATTTTTTTTTTTTTTTGTTGAAGGTGGTTTTATACTAATTTTTTGTGGGTGTTTTTTGACTTTCTAGGCCCACGTGGAGCACAAAACTCCGTAAATATTGGAATGGTTGGGTTTGAGATACTGAAGGCAGTGGCTCTAGGAGAATTAGGAGAATTCTCCTCCGTACCGGTCGATTCCTTCTAATCCAGCGCAACTGAATGGGCCATTTTTCCTCTTCCTCCCTCTGTGTTGCCGTTGATACCACGGTTAGCCTTGGAAGATTCAGCGGCCCAAACGTCTTCTCTCGGGGTCCTTCGTTTCCTCGTCTAATTTTCCCAGACCAGGTCGACGTGGCCTGAGTCCAGAACCGCGGGGGCAGCCGCCGCCGCTATAACAGCAGCAGAAGAACCCTCATCTTCATCAAGGACTGGTAGGTGGTTGAGATCGATCTCCATTCTCTAGTTCTCTACCATTTTTGAATGTAATTTAGTCCGGGAAGACAACTCTGCTGGAGAAGAGGCACCGGATTTGTTGTCTCAGTTGATTTTTTTTTTCAACTTTTTTTCCCATACTCTATCTCACATGTTTCATTATTTTTTTTTTCTCATCCCCATTTATTGACGTCATTATGCTATTTATTATTTCTTGGGTAAAAATATTAGTAATATAATAATGTGTTTAGAGTTAGTGTAATACGTATTTGGTTTGTGTTGATAATATAGTCAAGTTGGGAGTCAAAATCCGACGTGCAAAAAAGGTAAAAAACAAAACTGTATTTATTAAATATTGAATCGCACATAATACACAAATTAATGCCAACTTCTTTTCTCCCTCAAAGTATATAGCCTCCATTTCGTGTGCAATTCTGTGCATGGATTTTTTCAATTGTAGCCTTTGGATGATGGATCATATAAAAAGTTGAAACAAAAAGGTTCTTATTAAAAATTGTTCAATTAAAGGAATAAGTCTTGATGGCATGGTTTATAACATTACTATGAGATGTCATGGTCGATTCTCATTGAGTCAATCTAACTATTTTCTCCCATGTCATGAGATGTCATGGGTTATATATATTTCAAAAGAGAAACAGAGATGAAATAATTAGGAATAACAATTAGTTGCAAATGGAGTATTTTATAATACTAATATGTTGTCATCCTGTTGAGGTACCTACAATTCAGCGAGGGGGATTCGTTACTGTTGCTGATAGTAGACACCCTGCAAATATGCATATATATATATGTGTGTGTGTGTGTGTGTGTGTGTGTGTGTGTGTGTGTTTTGTGTGTGTTGTCGTCCTGATAATGGCAAAATATCATTCATAATTTCGTACTTACAACTTATGATTATTGCTTTTGTTCCATTTGCTCCTTATCGTATCCAAATGAAAGAATACCATATTTATAAGCACTTGAATAATGAGATCCATACATCGTAACTAACTTACTACTACAACTTCCTATCATTCCTGATGTTCACATTCATTCAGAATATAAAGTTGTGTGTCGAAAGAAGTTAGTTTATGGCATAGGCACATTTTATATATATAATAATTTCTCTCGTCTTCGACTTTTTCGTCGGTTGTGCTGTCACGACGAGAAAGTCCCCCAGTGTTCAAAAAATTTTCCCACAAATATCTTATTTGAAAACCAAAATACATGCATGTGTGGAAAAAAAAATTTAATACTAGATATTTTTTACCATGTCTAATTTTCTTAAAGCGGATAATGAAAACTGATGTGTGTCTGTGAAAATGAAAAAGAGATTTGATTAATTACGAAAACATAATACCATTAAAAATTGTGAAAATAAGGAAAAATTATGTATTTTAATTTTGTCAACTTCTTCTCATTAAGAAGATGAATATGTTGATAATTTTCAAAAAAAAATAGAAAAAAATTTTTGTGGCGTTAACATTGATACCGAAATTTAATCAACCAGTGATTCAAAGAAATAATCTTTTCATATACATTAACACAATGAATATTTATATGTTTTGGATTGGTATTTTTAGTCAAATTATAATCAAGTTAAGTAATTGAAAATATAGAGATCAAGTTCTATTGTGCTTGTTTTCATTTTCAAATTATTAGTCGAATTATTAATGCAATGATTTTTATTTAAAGAAATTGTTTAATCCTATCTCATATTAAATCCTTCACTGAAATTCTTTCATTCACTTGGTATTGAGGTTCCCAGATATTAGAAGATTGCAAGAAACAATAAAATGGAAAAAAAACTACTAAAAATAAAAGGTAAGAACTAAAAATTTGATTGCAAAAGTGCAATTACAAGAAACTAGTAAGCACAATTTAATGGTCAGAATTGGTAGATTTTCAGGTTGTGTTACACGAAATTGAGAAGATCTAGGGAAAAAATGAAATACACTTAAGAGATTGAGCATTTAGTTGCAAAGGCTCCTAAAAAGGCGGGCTTGCTTTGCAAAATTTCATCAAAAAGGCTAAAAAATAGGAAAAATGGCAAGCAAAATTTTACACTTGGGTCGTATTATTACCCGCATTGACCTCCTGTGTGACTCGCATGCACTATCATGCACTGCACAGTGCACGGACAATTTTTTTTGAAACAATCAAAACGACATCGTTTTGTTGAAGGTGGTTATATATTAACTTTTGGTGGGTGTTATCTTGACTTTCTAGGCCCACGTAGAGGACGAAGCTCCGGTAAATATCGGAATGGTTGGGTTTGAGATACTGAAGGCAGTGGCTCTAGGAGTACCAAGTCCACAAATCTAACCAGCAACCACGTCTGCCTCACGCTTCTCCTAAGCTCAACACCTGGCAGCGCCGCTGCCCCTACCGCCACCACGGCTGATTAATCAACCGCCGCCAACACCTCTACTGGTGGTGCGGCCATTTATGAGCCTTTTGCCTTACCTGGTGCATTTCCAATTCCTTCTCTGGTGATTTCATCCACAATATCCAGTGGCGGCGGCCCATTTCCTACGGCGGGCCTAGCTTCCTTGTCAGGATTTTCCTCCCCATAAGTTGATTCCTTTGGGTCTTCTTTTCCCCATTTAACCCTCTTATTAATCCTACCGCCATGGGCTCTCCTGATCCTCCTCATCCTCCTCCCTTGGTGCCGTCGTCACCAATGTGGTTGGGCTTTGAACATTCATCGGCCCAAACATCTTTTCGGGGTGTCCTCCTCATCCTTGGAGGATTTTCCAAAATCCCACCATGATGTTGATGATTGGAATGGATTTCATCTCTAACCATGCTAACTTGGCAAGAGTTGACAACCGAAGCCACCACCTCCGCCGCCGCTATGTTTACGCCGGCGTTCTCCTCTTCATCAAAGGCCGCTGGCTGGTTTAGATTGATCTCCAAGATGCAAGAACGGTGGTTCTTTGCCATTGATTTAGATTTCTTCACTGACTCATTTTTTCAACTTTTTTCTAAAACAGAGAGATTATTTTTGCATGAATGGAGTCTCTAACTATGCATGAATGGGAACTAAAGAAAGCTCTTATTTTCAGACAATTACATACGAAAATTTGACGGAGTATTGCGTAGAATGCAAGAATTGGTCACTCGGCAAAGTCTTTTACCACAGCAAGGAGTTCATTCAAACAGAAGCTACGTCAAAATCTAAATCACACCTAAAAATTCTCAAATGGATACCAACAAAAAGAAGACAGTATAATATAAGAAAAAGACGTCACTACAACTCCCAAACTGATATCATTAGTTCACTAATGGAATGTCTGGGAAGAATGAAAATTCAAGAAATCTGCAGTTTATGACCAAAACACCGGGGCTGGGGGGGAGGGGAAGGGTTTATATCTTATACTAACTTTTTGGTAGGTTTTTATATTTGACTTTTATGGGCACACGTGGAGCACGAACTTCTGGTAGCAGATGTAAATGGTTGCAATTTGATGTAAACCTCTAGAGTAAAATTTTAGAAATTTTTTGGGTAATGTTTATGCTATAGACAAAGAAATCCGGTGGTGAGAGAATAAGAACTCGTCCCAGCATAGTCGATGATCAATAACCATCACAAATCTTCTTCTTTTGCAGCAGTGGTTGTGGCGCCAGCGATTGTCAACTCTGACTACGTTAGTATGGTTTGGAAAAATCTGCCAAGAAAGAGGAGAAGGAGGGAGGAGGAGGAGGAAGAGGATCAGGAGCCCATGGCGGTAGGATTAAGAAGAGGGTAAAACGGAGAAAAAGACTTGCACTGGACCGAAAGGAAAAGGGAACGCAGCTATGGGAAATGGGCCTCCGCCGCCGCCATGCCAGGTAGTGTGGATAAAATCATCGGAGCAGGAATTGAAAATGCACCAGAAGCGGCAGCGGTGGGGGATGAACCAGAAGCAGTTGGGGTGGCAGCGCCACATTGTGTGAAGATGATGAAGATAAGCAAGAAGATGACGTCGTCGCCGAATAGACTTGCCGACATGTAGTTTGATATCTTACTATATTAGAAACAAAAATACACTTAAGAGAAAACACCATCATTTACCATGTGGCATTTCCACATCATATTTTTAAAATAAATTTTTATTACCACATCTCCTAAATTTAAAAGGCAAATGCAGTCTAAATTCACTTCCACCTCCTATTTTCGTCAAAACAAACAAAAAAAAACCACGGGTTCATAAAAAACCCAAATCTTCATCCCCATCTCCAAGACAATCGACTCCTTAATCAATCCCTTCTCCACAATTAAAAAAAAAACAAATTTCTCATTAATCATCAATTGAGAATATGTGGTGAAATATACTCCTTTCCTATTAGCATATTCAATCTTTTCATTAGTGATGATCAACTACATCTTAATCGGATAAAATTTCAACTTCAAAAAATATTCTCTTTACCTCTCTATATAAACACAAAGGAAAAAAAAATTCTCATTGATCTTGCTTCGGCCGTTGTAGTGGTGCCATTGCAGGTATTAAAATTTAAATGATTTTATTTCCACAGATCATTTGTTTGGCTTTTATTATTTTCTGTTTTTCCCGTTCAAAAATAGTGTTATTACTATTATTTTTATGCATCCATCCGTTACAGCTACCGTAGCCGTTGTCAGGTAGTATGATGTAATTTCTTATTTGGTTAGTTAGCCTAGAATTTTTGTATGATTTTAGTTATGTTTGGATTGAATTGATTGATTGGGTTTTTGTTACAAAGTGTGATTTTTAAAATTTTTTTTTTATGTTTCATTCAATTAGAATAGTTTTCTTTTTTTAATTATGGAGTCTCAGGTTTTTCTTCGTATATGGCCAATTATGAAGTGTGTTTTTTCTTTGTTTAATTGCTTTTGATTTTGTTTCATACTCCCAGTTGACCAATTATTATTATTATTATTATTATTATTATTATTATTATTATTATTATTATTATTATTTTATTTAGAAATGAAGCACGTTTCTTTTTTTGTGTTCGGGGTTTCAAGAATATATTCTTTTGGATTTGGTTTTTAGACTTTTTTTAGTTCCTCATCATATAAATAGTTCAGGTCGCTTCTTTTAACTAATTTATGGGGAATCCTTTTATGAATTTGAGGTGGAGAGGGAAGGAATGATGTTGCTATGTTTATTTGTGTTTTTATACATCATTTTTACCTACAGAAAAAAATAAAAATTCTCAAATTTTAATGGGCTATCTTTTACTTTTTTTTTATTTGTCATCGTGAGGTGAGTTCTTTTTTGCTATATCTTGAAACCTATGCAAATTTATATTATTTTCATTCTCATATTTGTGATCAACCGGTTTCAATAATTAACCAGTTTCAAAATCATATTTTTGATATTTTACTACCTATAAACTTTTGGAAGAAATAGTTCCAACAATTAAGCGTATACTCTTTGGAAGAAGCTAACTACAAAGCTATTATAAATCTCAAAAACTAAGTATTGATTTGGCACAACCAATGGAGAAAATCAATAAATTATCTTACTAATATTTAAACTTATTAGGATGCTTTTATATTTTGTCTAGCATTTACTTCAAGACATATATTTGATCAAGTTTGTTTATATTTAAGAAGTAACACTTATAAAATATTTCTAAAATCTTCAAATATTTCTAAAACGTACCGGGCCAAATACAATTTATTTTTTTGCCAAATACAAACATCACACTTATAAAACATTTATAAAATTCTTCAAATATTTCTAAAATATATCGGGCCAAATACAAAATATTTTTTTTCCAGATACAAACATTTCTAAGATCTACAGATATATTGGGCCAGAGTTGCGCATTGCGCGACCAGACATCACTAGTTCTTAAAGAGCCAATCTTCATTACTACATCAAAGTCCAACCATTTACAAAGGTAGAGCGTGCAACTCACGTGCCAAAAAGGGAAGTGGACATGAAACCTTTCTCATGCGCACGACCTTTTTTACTTTTGATTTTTTTTTCTGGGCCAGAATGGGAAGTATAGCCCGTATATCCATTTCATCTTAAAAATCAAAAATAGAATTATTACAAATAATGAATGGATTTCGTGTCTGAAATATTTATCTTTTTTACCATATATTCAATCAATAATTATTAAGTACAAACTAATTCTAGATGTAGTTACTTTACATCCAAACACAAAATTTGATAATATATGCAGGAAAAGAAAAAAATAATTATTACCATATATACAAATTAATGTTAAACTATAAATCTATATATAATGAATAATAATATCCATCAACTAAAATTTCTATCAAATATGAATTTTTTTATTAAAATGTCTTAAAAATTCCAAAAAGACCTGAAAATTAAAAACTGTAAAAAAAAAAAAAAAAAAACTCAATGAAAGAGATACAAAGGACATTGTACTTGTTACTTTAAGTGTTTAGGTATAATTATAAGTATCATATTATAATCCTTAACAATGTACTTGTGGACATGGTAGTATGGTACTCTTAACGAGCCATTGTCTTCATTATTACATCAAAACCCAACCATTTACATTGGTCATTGGAGTTTCGTGCACCACGTGGGCCCAGAAAAGTTTTTTTAAAAAAATACCAACTAAAAAATTAGTTAAATCAATTCAACACTTAAACTTAATTCATTAAGTACTTAATTGATTGGTACTGGTCCCCTTATTCTCCCTCCTTCCTTCTGCCGATATAAAATTCCAACATGAATGGTCAGCGAATTTCGATAGGGAATCGGTCAATTTGAGGGCGGGAGTTATTGAGGCAGTGGATGACCTTGTAGATTGGGGGGTGAAAGTCACGAAATTCTGAATCCAGTTTTCTCAATAACTGAATTCAAGATTGATTTAAGATTGTTAATTTTATACTTGTTGTTTATTTTATTAAGAAGAACTAATTATGGTTGGTGAAGAGGATGGTTGTGTGGTGGTGGTTCTGGCTGGGGGAGTGGTGGTTGGGCGGCTCTGTTCATGTGAAGAGGAGCAGACAGTAGACGTTGGCACAGAAGGGAAATTGAGTTTTTTTTTTTTTTTGTAATTTTGTCACTATAATTATAATAAAAAATAAAAATTATCAAATTTTTTTTTCAATCCAAATGGTCAACCAAACAATATTATTGGATTCATGAATCATGAGTATTTGAATCTAATCCATCATCATTCAAACCCGTTTTGTAATTCGGCTGACAAAACAAAAGATTCCTCAACCCAGCTCATTTATTTTTTTAAAAAAAATTGTAAATGTAATATTTTAACAGTATCATTTCCTCTTTCTGTCTTAGAAAAATAATTCATATTGAGTTTTCAACTTTGTATTAAAATTAACGCAAATCTCAAAAGTTAAGATGAACTATTTTTTAAAATAGATAAAGTATTATAATTTATAATATTACAATGGTATACTCCTCCATTTCTCGTAAATGCCACGAGAAGAGAACCACCCGCTAGCTCATGTAAAAATCAGCTGCAGAACTTATGGCTTATTAATTAAAGCTTCTGCTCCATTTGTTCCTTGCTGAATCCAAATGAAAAAAGCAATGTTGGGAGAGGTTTTTTCCGAAAGGAAATCAACCCGGTTCGGTATGAATTAGTCTGAGTACAATGTACTTAGGATACTGTGCGGAGTATAAAAAAAATAAAATAATAACATATTTATAAGCACTTGAATAATGAGACACATACAATCTTAGCTAACTTACAAGAACTTTCTATCATTATTGATGTTCGCATTCGTTCATTGTATCGAATGTGTGTGTTGAAAGGAGATTTGCAAACTTTCATATAGAATTTCTTTTTTATTGCGTCTCTTCATCAGTTCAAAAATTTTCCAACAAATATTTTATTTGAAAACGAATAATGATATTCCACTTTACTAATTTAACTCTACTAATAAATTCTACTTACATAGTAATTTAGTTGGCATATCCAAATCATTATGTAATTAAGATAATATTTAATATAGAGACAAA